TAGGAAAATTAAAACGCAGCTCATTTAAATATTGGAGCCAAACTTCACAGTATGATCGCGGATGGTTGATCTTGATTTATTTAGCATTCCTGCTAATTGACGTAATGTTGAGCGTGGGTTATTCTCGATTTCTGTTCCAATCATATCTTCGTCTGTGGTGGACGGCCTATCTGGGCGTTCTTGATCTTCAAGGTCGAAATTTCCAGCTTTAAACCGAGCAAACCACTTCCGCACAGTTCTTTCGGCTACAGCATCCTCGCCATAAACAGCGCATATTTTATTTGCCGCTTGTGTGGCATTTTTGCCCTTTCGGAAAAAGAAAAGCATTAAATGCCTATAATGCACTTTATTTGCCACCATATTCTAAGGCGTACAAAACTGATAAAAATTAACGAATCGTAACCGAGCTTTTTTCAAAATATGGCTGAAGTTATCTCTTTTAGAATATGTACACGTCATTTGTTTTCAATAATTGTGATATATTCAGTCAGGTCTCTCATGCTAGCTACCGAAAATCGGCACGAACTTTTCGGACAATCCAATATATACGTGCACGCGTTCACCGCCGGCCAAAAATACGGGCCAGATTTCTTCAAGGCGGATATTTACTCCAGAAAGAAGACGAGACAAAGCTTGTTCTCTCGCTTCGTTGATCAGGAACGCGGGATCCGTAACTATTGGCGGGCAGTGTGCACGTGACACGCGGTCGAATCATAAAATGCGATGGTGGGATCTTCCCGCTCGTTCGCGGGAGATAACTTCTCGCTCGTAACGCGCGATTTGACCCGCGACGTTTCTCCCGAGAGAACCGGGCCAGGTCTCCGGAGGGACCGAAAGTAGTTCGGCGAGGTAACGAGATTCGTACGAATCGAACGTCGAAGAGATTTCGTCGGGGCTCAGGTCTAGGAACTTGATATCCAGTCGGCGAATCCGGCGGCGAGATCCAGAACAGTCCTTCGATGGATCTTCGATACTGTCTTCCTGGTTTCTCAGTGGTGGCAAGAATGTTGGTGGGGCTCGGCGATCGGACGCGACGGATCGTTGATGCTCTGCACGATCATGTTCAGACGGTCCAAGCTGCTTCCGGTGACCTGGGCGGGATGCAGCTCCGTTTGCTCGAATCCTGCGAACAGACGCGCGCGAACTTTTATCATCCAGCATTCGACCAGCGACCGTTCCCGATTCCTGGTCTCGCTCTTTTGGATATCATCCAAACTATCGATCCGTGGAAGAACGACCGTGAGCGCGCACCAGCGAATCGCGGTTGCCTCTGATTTACGAATCGCATCTCCGACACGATATTTCTCCGGCCGTGACGTGTCCAGGAAAAGCTACACGCGCGGCCGGCTGCCAAACCCCGTGCAATTTTCGACCAGGGATATCGAGCAAAAATCGATATTTCAAAAGGTATACGCGTCGTAGAAGAGAGCTTGCGATCACCGAAGATCGAGTTACCTACACGATCGAAATTATTATCGAAATTCAGACGTCCAGATAGATAGAGACACGAATGCTTAGCAATTCGCAGAGAATCGGCGGAACACGGTCTCTCGTCGGAACACCGGAGCGTTTAAATCGCGAGCGAAATCTCTCTGGCGAGGGTAAATCGAGGCGACTTAATTGCGCTGCTCTGTCTTCAAAGAACGCGGTGTATTGCGATTCGTCGTTACCGGATCTGTCCCCTCGGAGCACAAAGAACCTTTGATTCGGTCTCATTAACGGGAGGCGGACGCGCGACGACGTCGACGTCGACGACGACGACGACGGCGACGACCCGATCTTGCAACACCGACGGGGAAAACCCGCCCCCCGTCGGCCCTGTTGGTTACAAGTTGTAAGCCTCCCTATAGGAGGTTGCTTAGCTGATCGCGTATGCACGCGTCCCGCTGCACTCCGGGCGCGAGAGGCCGAGAAAATCGAAAAATACAGGGAATAGTGGACACGCGGATTTAGACGAGGCTGAAGAGAAAGAGACGGCGGAGGACAGAGAGGGTGGACCCCTCTCTGGGAGGAAAATCAGCCAAGCGACGGAGCGGACGGGATTTTCGTGAGACATTTACGAATATCTGGATGCGGTAAAGTATGTATTTTGGCCGCGACTTCGGTTGCATTTAAACGCGCATTGCGCTCCGCCGGCAAAAGGATGATCCGACGACGATGCGTCATACTAATGTACCGTGGCAATATATGGCACTTTCGAGCGGTTCGAGTTTTCTCGTCTTTCAACGATCCTCTGATATTCGCGTCGCTACAAATGTCCGCCTCGTACCTCGGACAAAACTCTCGTCCGGCGATCACGATCCCGGGAATGATCGAGGAGGAGTTAGTGCGGCGATCTTATTGGTCGGAAATCTTATTTCTTCGCAGCTGTTGTCGCAAGCCCCGGACCGCGCGTTTCCTATAACAGGATCACGGAACGCGTCCTTTTGAGACATCGCCGACTAAATGGGACGCAACCGCGGGGCATTAATTAAAACGATCGGAGTGTACGTTAGTGGGGTTACGGTTCGGTAAATCGCTTGGCACCGTCGCGACACCGGAGGAGCTTGCCTCTCGTTGCCGCGGCCGCGTCTATTCCTACGGAGAAACTACCGTCGCCTTTTTCCTCTCGCAGAGCGTCTGCTTCCGACTCGCCGTGGCGGAGGCGTAGCGGTGCGATTGTGAATTATAGACCAGTGCCTCGGTCCTCTATTTATCGGTGCTCGGGTCCGCTCTCGCGATTCGCTCTTGTCTAGCCGCGTCCGAGCAGCGTCGTCGCGTTTCGGCCGTCGCGGCGCGGATAGGTGGCGATATGTTAGGCTGGCGAACGGGGCGAACACGGCACGCGCCGCTAGCTCCCTATATCGCGGTTTCCCTTTCTCCCCCTCTGAATTATGTGCCACGCTCGCCGATCGCTAGGTATTCATTAACGTTAACGAATCCCGAGTTATTTTAACGGCCGGGATTCCGCGATTCCAAAGCCAAGACGATCCCCGGTCAGGGAGGAGGGGGGTGATCCGGGACGAGCCACCGACACATTGTAACTCGCGTACGTCCGACGGTCTTTGTCCGATCGGTGTCATCGATGCTGCTCGTTCGAGCATTCGGCCGGCTCCCGATCGTCCCGCGCGAGTCTGCGTGCTATCCGGATGGGCGAACGGACACGGCTGCTCGTCTATTTTCAGAATGTAGGCCAATTAATTCCGCCGCATTTTCGGTACAGCTCGGAAAAACGAGAAATTTTACGAATGTCGCGCGAAAATAGCAAGAAACAAGAAGCCGAATCGACGGCAGCCGGCGCGACGTGCCCGCGGGTCTACGCTCCGCGAGAGGATACAATATAACGGCGAAGATACATGGACGTCCCTCCCCCCCCCCCTGGTCCGGGCGCGTCTCTCTCCCGTGTTCATCGCGGGAAGAAGAACTCTTCGTGTTTCACCGAAGGTGGTAGGCATCGCTCGCTACCCGCTTGACGCCTGACTGGTCGCGACTCGTGACTCGTGACTCGTGACGCGTGCCGTCGCGGCGGTAAGCTCCGTCTCGCGTCTCCCCGTCACGCTTCTACCCGTCCCGACGCCGAGGGGCCGAGAGGGTGGCGCGGGGTAGAAGCAGCCACTCCTCCGTGGAGATGAGATCGTTGCATCTCGGAAGCTCACGGGTGGGCTATCTATAGCAGCGAGTGTAACCGAATAGAAGCCGAGTGTCACTCAAGGGTGACAAAACTCATTAATACCGATCTGCTTAATGCTGCGTCTCGTGTCTGGCATTAATCTACTTAAAAATATCAGTATCAAGAGCAATCCGGTGTTTTGGAAACGCCGACGAAGAAGGGCCGGTCGATGCGTCCGTCGCTGCCTCCTTAATAGACGATCCCGTCTATCCGTCTCGTCTTGCCTCGCCTCGCCTCGCCTCGTCTCGCCGCGAGTACGCGTTATTTCGCGAGCGTTAGTTTAGATCCCACCGATGGCCTCTCGTTCACTCACCGTTGATAGGCTGAAATCTTGCCAGGGGATCCGAGAACTGCCTGAGCCTCTCCGTGACGTATCGCGGCGAGTCCGCGCCCTGCAAACGAAAGCAATCTTGTTTTGATTCGCGAAACGCTGGATGATCGGAAGACGGAACCAGGAGAGAGAGAGAGAGTGAGAGAGAGAGAGAGAGAGCAGGGATGGGAGATGGGAGAGATGGGAAACGGGAAACGAGGGACACGCGCGGTGTCGCGGCTCGTTCGTTTCGATCGCTCGCGAAATGTAGGTCAATCGTGGCGTTCGGCAAGGGACTCGCGCAATCCTCGTCCGCCGAGGAGTGGTTGGAGAGCCCGTGGGACGGGAAAGAAGCCCGGTAGGGGATGGAACGAACGCGCGGCGGAAAGTGCGCGCGGCTCTTCCGCTGGCCTAGCGCGGAAATTTGGAAAAAATCACGAGCGAGCAGTCGTGCGAACGCGAAATCCGCGCTCCCGGAGTAACGCGGAGGGTGCGCGATCGGAGGCCGGAGAGAGGATCCTCCTCGATGCCCCACTCGCCGGAATGCCGATCGGCGTCGAGTTCTCTGATCCCTTTCGCCTTCTTTCCCTCATTCATTCCTCCACTCTGCAGGCCACTAAACACTGCGTACACATTTTATCCGAGTCGAGTTCCTTTATTTGTCGCGGCGCATCTATATGCGGTGTCGTGGCCAACTATTCTCGGAGTGAAAGCAGTTCCTCGCGGCACTTACCGCGGCCTGGCAGCGGCGAGGCAGCGGCAAGGCAGTGGCAAGGTACACGCACATCCACGGGTGCAACTTACGGGACTACCGGTATCGCGGGAAAAAGACACGTTTCGTTCGAGAAGAGAGCGCACGATAATCGGGCTTAATGACAAGAGGAAGCTAACTAGCTTGAGCTAAATAGCTCGAGAGCAACTGCTTCAGCTATAAACGAGAGAGAAAGCTGCAGATTAAACTTTAGCACATCCTCGATGGACGCGAGGATCTCGAGACAATGGAGCATTCGAAGGAGCATTCGATCGAGGATTTCTGCCCGAAAGAAAAATAGCATCGCCTGGCGAGAGCGCGTCGCGTAAACTCGGACGTCTCGGGAACCCGTTAAAAATGCATCTGATCGGCGCGAATCTACACGTATCGAAATCTAAACGGTTCTCGATTGATCCCGTCGTCTCGATGAACCAGCTGGCGACGATTCAGCGACGCTGAACTCGCGTATCGGTGAACAATAGCGAACTGGTAACGTCTCCGGAAAAAATAGCACCGCGCTTTTGGTCGGAATAGACGCTTCCCAGTTCGCTGACCGAGGGTTGACAGAAATTTTCCACTGAAACGATTTCGAGAACCAGGGAAAAGGCATCTTGGTCCGGCGCGGCCCGAGAGAGCTTTTATCGTTAAGTAGGATACCGTCGACGAGCCATGCTAAGACTCCGGTTTAAACGAGCGCGATGTTTGCTCTGGAAGATGGCTCGGTGCCCTCGATATCGGTCTGGTCTTCTCGAGCTGGATTATAGCGCGGCCGCCGCGTTCCACCGTGCAAAGATGTTCGCCTAAGCAGATACATACTTCCTCTCGAGGGGGAGGAGGGGGGGAAAAAGAATATTCGATCGTGAACGGCGAGCAAACGAGGAGGAGGCCTTGACGCGGACCGATCTTGTTTCGAAACGATCGAAAGGACGGCGTATCGCGCCGGCCCGAATCGATGTTCGTCGCGGGGCGTATATTTAGAGAACGGACCACGGATCCGACTGGTTTACGCGAAAGGCCAGGCAAATATATTTCATTGTATAATCCCCTCGAGAGAAGCTTGCTGCTCTCCTAGCCGTGAGCCGAGGCTTTCGCGGCGGCGCGACGGGATTCCGAGATTCCGAGATTGCGTTTCCGGAGCGTGGATTCGCTTAAAAGTCTCGCAAAAACCGTGCGATACATGCTCCTCCGTCGATGCACACGTGTTGGACACGTGTTCGTTCGGTCGACCTCGAACAATCCCTCGGAAATTAATGCGGCCCGTCGGTCGTTTTTCGACGGTCAGCGAGCGACGGGCAACGGCGGAACGCGTCGTAACGACGAGCCGCGCGCGCGGTGCAAAAGCGGAACGCGGACAGAGGTAGAAGAAAGAGAGAGAGAGAGAGAGCATTCGGAACGATAACAAACCACTCGCTCGTCATAGTTTCGAGATTTCTGACACGCGTGGGAATACGGTATCGGAAACCGATATCAACTGGTCGCCGAGCGACACGAGTAGCTACTCCGCCGACAGGAACGACCTCCTCTTGGTTCGCGCGCTCTGCCGTCTAGCCTTGGCGCGCGTCGATGCAGGATATCGTGGATCGTCCCGCATTTTCCGCAGCCCGTAAAGAGGTCGGCCGCGTTTACGTACCGCGTTCTCGGCGAACCCGTGGTGATCCTGCGTTCCCGAGCTTCCGTTCGCCTGCAGCAACGCTTCCAGGCCCTCGATATACTCGATCGCGTTCCGCAGGATCTCCACCTTCGGCAGCCGCTGGTTCGGATTGTTGCTCGTCCTCCTCTTCAGAACCTCGAACGCCTCGTTCACCTGCAAACCCGCTGTAGTTAGTTCGCTGTAAATGCCGAACGGAGACACGCGGTGCCCGGAAGAAACGTTCCTTCGGAATCCAAACATCGAACGGGAATTATCCTTCTTCCGTCGATATGAATGCTGCTTTTAAAGCTGCTTTCATCTTTCAGAACGACACGCCACTATAGTGGCTTGCTCTAGTAGCTCATTCGCTCATCGTTTTAACCAAATAATCGTCTTCATATGCATTGTTTCACACTTCTTTTGTCTTCACATCGATTTACAACAGTCTACAGGGTGTTCCAAGAATGTCTCGCAATCCGGAAATGGCGGGTTCCTCGGATCATTTGAAGCAACTTCTTCCTTTACAAAAATTTTCTCCGAGGCACCGTTAACGAGTTATTAACGAAAAACAGTGACCAATAAGAATCGAGTACGGCTGACGCGAGGCGGCCCAGTCAACCAGCGCACGAAGCCCAGTTCCGCTCATTGGCTCGATCGCCTCGCGCCAGCTGAGCGCGCCTCTCATTGGTCACTGTTTTTCGTTAATAACTCGTTAACCTGTCTCTTATACACATCTAGATGTGTATAAGAGACAGGCTTTTAAAGCTGCTTTCATCTTTCAGAACGACACGCCACTATAGTGGCTTGCTCTAGTAGCTCATTCGCTCATCGTTTTAACCAAATAATCGTCTTCATATGCATTGTTTCACACTTCTTTTGTCTTCACATCGATTTACAACAGTCTACAGGGTGTTCCAAGAATGTCTCGCAATCCGGAAATGGCGGGTTCCTCGGATCATTTGAAGCAACTTCTTCCTTTACAAAAATTTTCTCCGAGGCACCGTTAACGAGTTATTAACGAAAAACAGTGACCAATAAGAATCGAGTACGGCTGACGCGAGGCGGCCCAGTCAACCAGCGCACGAAGCCCAGTTCCGCTCATTGGCTCGATCGCCTCGCGCCAGCTGAGCGCGCCTCTCATTGGTCACTGTTTTTCGTTAATAACTCGTTAACCTGTCTCTTATACACATCTAGATGTGTATAAGAGACAGGCTTTTAAAGCTGCTTTCATCTTTCAGAACGACACGCCACTATAGTGGCTTGCTCTAGTAGCTCATTCGCTCATCGTTTTAACCAAATAATCGTCTTCATATGCATTGTTTCACACTTCTTTTGTCTTCACATCGATTTACAACAGTCTACAGGGTGTTCCAAGAATGTCTCGCAATCCGGAAATGGCGGGTTCCTCGGATCATTTGAAGCAACTTCTTCCTTTACAAAAATTTTCTCCGAGGCACCGTTAACGAGTTATTAACGAAAAACAGTGACCAATAAGAATCGAGTACGGCTGACGCGAGGCGGCCCAGTCAACCAGCGCACGAAGCCCAGTTCCGCTCATTGGCTCGATCGCCTCGCGCCAGCTGAGCGCGCCTCTCATTGGTCACTGTTTTTCGTTAATAACTCGTTAACCTGTCTCTTATACACATCTAGATGTGTATAAGAGACAGGCTTTTAAAGCTGCTTTCATCTTTCAGAACGACACGCCACTATAGTGGCTTGCTCTAGTAGCTCATTCGCTCATCGTTTTAACCAAATAATCGTCTTCATATGCATTGTTTCACACTTCTTTTGTCTTCACATCGATTTACAACAGTCTACAGGGTGTTCCAAGAATGTCTCGCAATCCGGAAATGGCGGGTTCCTCGGATCATTTGAAGCAACTTCTTCCTTTACAAAAATTTTCTCCGAGGCACCGTTAACGAGTTATTAACGAAAAACAGTGACCAATAAGAATCGAGTACGGCTGACGCGAGGCGGCCCAGTCAACCAGCGCACGAAGCCCAGTTCCGCTCATTGGCTCGATCGCCTCGCGCCAGCTGAGCGCGCCTCTCATTGGTCACTGTTTTTCGTTAATAACTCGTTAACCTGTCTCTTATACACATCTAGATGTGTATAAGAGACAGGCTTTTAAAGCTGCTTTCATCTTTCAGAACGACACGCCACTATAGTGGCTTGCTCTAGTAGCTCATTCGCTCATCGTTTTAACCAAATAATCGTCTTCATATGCATTGTTTCACACTTCTTTTGTCTTCACATCGATTTACAACAGTCTACAGGGTGTTCCAAGAATGTCTCGCAATCCGGAAATGGCGGGTTCCTCGGATCATTTGAAGCAACTTCTTCCTTTACAAAAATTTTCTCCGAGGCACCGTTAACGAGTTATTAACGAAAAACAGTGACCAATAAGAATCGAGTACGGCTGACGCGAGGCGGCCCAGTCAACCAGCGCACGAAGCCCAGTTCCGCTCATTGGCTCGATCGCCTCGCGCCAGCTGAGCGCGCCTCTCATTGGTCACTGTTTTTCGTTAATAACTCGTTAACCTGTCTCTTATACACATCTAGATGTGTATAAGAGACAGGTATCAGACTCTGCCGTCCAGAAAAATAGCCTCGCGCAGAATTCAGCCGTACCTAAAAGGTTAACAACGTTTTATAAATTCGCGGTCTATCGATCGGGGCGAACACCGGCGGCTTCAAAAATATAGCGAGTTAATCGTGTAGGAGTAGTTGTGTGGCTCCATTCGATACAGAGAACTTCCCGATAGCAACCTGTCTCGCAAGCGATTAAACATCTTGTTCGCTCGGCATTCTCATCCTCGCGTCTAAACTCGGATAGCTTCAGTTTCTAACTCGTTCTCCCGCCACCTACGAGACGCACAGGCAATAGAGCATCGATGCGAACGAACTTGCGGTGTGTGTCTCTTGGTAGAGCGGAATAACTCGGAACGCGTTTGCCCTTAAATTCTGTATTAAAATATGATCGCGTAAACAGAAATATCCGCGTGTTTACGCGTCGAGAGTCAGCTGATGGCTGCTGTCACGAGATGCATGCGTTGCCTGTTTTTATACCCACGTATATCTTTGTTTCGACGCCAGGGCCGTCGCTCAGCTCGGTTGGTTGGGCCCACCAGTGTAAGGCAGACTTTGGTTTTCCTTACGTCAACCGAGACGGCATTCTTTCTTGTCAGCCAAAACGTTATACATGGTGTCCCAAAAATTCTCGCAATCCGAAAGTGGCGGGTTCCTCGGGTCATTTGAAGCAACTTCTTCCTTTACAAAAATTTTCTCCGAGGCACCGTTAACGAGTTATTAACGAAAAACAGTGACCAATGAGAGGCGAGCTCAGCTGGCGCGAGGCGACCGAGCCAATGAGCGGAACTGGGCTTCGTGCGCTGGTTGACTGGGCCGCCTCGCGTCAGCCGTACTCGATTCTTATTGGTCACGGTTTTTCGTTAATAACTCGTTAACGGTGCCTCGGAGAAAATTTTTGTAAAGGAGAAAGTTGCTTCAAAAGATCCGAGGAACCGGATTGCGAGACATTTTTGGGACACCTTGTATTTATTTGATTTGTATACGTCGTACGAACGATCGCTACAAACTGAACGGACTTCCGTCGTTACCTTCTGCTTGGACGATATCGCAGGCGATTCGATGTTCGTTCGCGAACCTTTCACAGTACCTAACGAGTCCGTAAAACGAGCGACCTGTATAGCTCGCGCACTAACCTTCCTCAAACGCCTTCTTTCCCGCAGCGTAGCCGCTTTTCTACGGTCCACGGTGACGGTTTTCTTTTTGCAAGCTTTGCAGGCCCAGAGGAGGCATCTGCGAGGTCCGTGGCTCGAGGTTGCGGCGTCCAACGCAGCGTGGGGATGCGGCACGTGCTCCGTTTCGTTCCTCTCGTTCTTCTCATTCTTCTCGTTCGTTTCGTGGCCCCTCTGTGTCGCCTCGCCGGATCGTTTCGGCTCGTTCGATTCGTTCGCTTCGTTGCTCTCCTCTGCCTCGATCGAGACCGACTCGAAATCGACGGAGGCATCCGCGGACGCCACCGACGATCCGTCGTCGGAGTCCAAGGCATACGGAGACGACTGCGACCTGCGCGAACCAAATGTTCAACCATCATTCTCCGTTCTCCATCGCCGTCCTCTTATTCTCTTCGATATTACAGTAATGTCTCTCTAATTGACGCACAGATTGTCCACAAAAATTGACAATTTAGGGAGAAGAGAGACGATTATTCGATCCTTGCGGTTCATTTTTACAGTCACGAATTGTCGACAACTATAAAAACGAGCTGAAAGGCTCGAATAATGGTATCTCCTCTTCACAAATTGTCCATTTTTGTGGTCAATCTGGGCGTCAATTACAGAGACATTACTGTACAGTAATATCCCTCTAATTGACGCCCAGATTGACCACAAAAATGGACAATTTGTGAAGAGGAGATACCATTATTCGAGCCTTGCAGCTCGTTTTTATAGTTGTCGACAATTCGTGACTGTAAAAATGAACCGCAAGTATCGAATAATCGTCTCTCTTCTCCCAAAATTGTCCATTTTTGTGGTCAATCTGGGCGTCAATTACAGAGACATTACTGTACAGTAATATCCCTCTAATTGACGCCCAGATTGACCACAAAAATGGACAATTTGTGAAGAGGAGATACCATTATTCGAGCCTTGCAGCTCGTTTTTATAGTTGTCGACAATTCGTGACTGTAAAAATGAACCGCAAGTATCGAATAATCGTCTCTCTTCTCCCAAAATTGTCCATTTTTGTGGTCAATCTGGGCGTCAATTACAGAGACATTACTGTACAGTAATATCCCTCTAATTGACGCCCAGATTGACCACAAAAATGGACAATTTGTGAAGAGGAGATACCATTATTCGAGCCTTGCAGCTCGTTTTTATAGTTGTCGACAATTCGTGACTGTAAAAATGAACCGCAAGTATCGAATAATCGTCTCTCTTCTCCCAAAATTGTCCATTTTTGTGGTCAATCTGGGCGTCAATTACAGAGACATTACTGTACAGTAATATCCCTCTAATTGACGCCCAGATTGACCACAAAAATGGACAATTTGTGAAGAGGAGATACCATTATTCGAGCCTTGCAGCTCGTTTTTATAGTTGTCGACAATTCGTGACTGTAAAAATGAACCGCAAGTATCGAATAATCGTCTCTCTTCTCCCAAAATTGTCCATTTTTGTGGTCAATCTGGGCGTCAATTACAGAGACATTACTGTACAGTAATATCCCTCTAATTGACGCCCAGATTGACCACAAAAATGGACAATTTGTGAAGAGGAGATACCATTATTCGAGCCTTGCAGCTCGTTTTTATAGTTGTCGACAATTCGTGACTGTAAAAATGAACCGCAAGTATCGAATAATCGTCTCTCTTCTCCCAAAATTGTCCATTTTTGTGGTCAATCTGGGCGTCAATTACAGAGACATTACTGTACAGTAATATCCCTCTAATTGACGCCCAGATTGACCACAAAAATGGACAATTTTGGGAGAAGAGAGACGATTATTCGATACTTGCGGTTCATTTTTACAGTCACGAATTGTCGACAACTATAAAAACGAGCTGCAAGGCTCGAATAATGGTATTTCCTCTTCTCAAATTGTCCATTTTTGTGGTCAATCTGGGCGTCAATTAGAGGGATATTACTGTACAGTAATGTCTCCCTAACTATAGACAAATCATAAATCGCCTGATGTTTTCGCAGAGAGTATCCCCGTAATTTATTAATCACCCCTAACCTAGTAATTGGGAATAGGAGCCTTGCGAATTCGAGCCTTGCGACTCGTTTATATAGTTACCGATTGTCAACGATTATAAAAACATAGTACAATAATGTCTCCCTTACTGACGCTTAGATTGTCCACTAAAATGGATAATTTGGGAATAGGAAATACGATTATTCGAGCCTTGGAGCTCGTTTTTTATAATTGTTGAAAATCGGTAACTATAAAAACGAGTCGCAAGGCTCTACTTCCCAAATTGTCCATTTTAGTGGACAATCCGAGCGTCAGTTAGGGAGACATCACTGTATCTTATAAACGCGTAGACATAGTCGCCGATTCGTCGCGATATTTCATTCTCTTGCGAGCCCTGCTTTTGTCAGTCTCGTCGATTAGACAATGTGCCCTCGAACGCGGCACGAATATCGCGTGGCGGGACAACTTTATGAGAGAGGACAAGTTTAGAAGCGTGGACAGCTTTGGAGGTAAGGACAACCTTAGACTGTAGACTACAGTGTTCCACGTTCGTCGGTAAATAAATTCTCCCTAATCGACGCTCAGCTTGGAAACAAGAATGGATAATTTGGGAAGAGGAGGCTCGTTTTTTACAGCCGTCGACAATCGGCAACCATAAAAACGCAAGCCGCGAGGCTCGAATAATCGTGTCTCCTGTTCTCAAATTGTCAATTATAATCGACGCTCAGCTTGGACACAAGAATGGATAATTTGAGAAGAGGAGGTTCGTTTTTTACAGCCGTCGACAATCGGCAACCATGAAAACGCAAGCCGCGAGGCTCGAATAATCG